GCCCCAAATCTCCACCACTACATTGCGCTTCTCCCGCACATAGACGTCTGCTGTGCTCTCTGTGAGCCAGTTGCCTAAGTACATGCGGCGATCCCGGGGGATCCCCTATCTGGAAAGCGCAGTCCGGGATGAACACTCGGAATGAGTGCCACGTCAGCGGCTTCACCAACCCCGGGGTAACTCCCCGACGGAGAATCGCATCCTTGAGCCATCTCAGAGCCCTTTCCGGTGTGGAAGGTCTCGGGATCAGCCCTGCAAAGTCTTTGCTCACTGTCGGGAGCAGGTAGTCCATGTCCTGGAAAGCCTCCTGGTAGTCCACCAGGGGATCCCCGTGAAGCTGTACTTCGGAGCAATCAAGGGGACCGGGTTGCGGTTGATCCGTGCTGCTGAGACCGTCTTGGTCTGCCAGGCCTTCAGCTCCACGGTGTTACTAGTGTGGATAAGGTCCTTGGGGTGAACATGCTGGAGGTCATTGAAACGAGCGCTGCATCCGACTTGGAACCGGGCGAAACCCAGGATGAATGCGTCCAGTGCCTCGTGTCTGCTCCTCCCCGGGGCCGCCTGCGTACCGGGGCCGGTGGCACCCTGGTGATCGTAGCCAGCCCCTTCCTCCAGAGCCCATATGACCTCTTTGCTGGGGACCACCGCCTTGCGCTGCGGCCGGGTGACCGTGTCCGTGAGCGCCTCTTCCAACGAGCTCTTCTTGGACTTGAGGCGATGGAGCTCGTCTATCTTCAGCAGACCGAAGGTCTTGGAAAACCATTTGAGGGTGTTCCACACCTGCCGTAGCTTGCATGGGGTGACCTCCTCTTCGGAGAGCTGGTTGAGGAGCGAACGGACATGTCGTTCCTGCCATGGAATAACCGTGAAGCCTCTCTTCCGGAGACTCTCGTAGACCAGGCAATGTTGTCTGAGTGTCCGGAACCTGTTGTCCCCCAAAAATTCCAATGCCTCCTTGCGGAAGTCCTCCCCCAGGATGTCCTGCATGTACGCGATGTGCTCCGCAAACGGGGCGAAGTGGGCGAGGAGCCGTTCCGCCCATTTCCCGCGCATATGGAGTTCCATTGCTCGCTGGGTCGTGGGCTCCATTTCCCTTATCTTGCCCGGGCGCCAGTGCCTCCACTTCAGAAGCTCCGGTTGTTGGAGTGGGGGTGGGTCATGTCGCGAGAACCACCTCCATTGGTCCTGGCGGTCCCATTCATTCTCCAGCGGGGAAAAGTCTTCGCTCGGCTTGCCATCCGCCGTCGCCAGGAGGAGGAACCATAGGCTGTCCCACAGGTCTGCCAGGTCCGCCGCGGACAGAGGCTGGGGAAGCCTGCCTGCCGCCGATGCCACCAGCCGTTGAAGTAGTCCGTCGGGACCACTTGGTCGACTTGTCCTACCGGAATGCCCGAAAGTTCCAGGAGCTGAGCGAAGCGGATTGCCGGCTCACCGCCCAGCTTCCTCCCCTCCTCCTCCGTGCCTTGGCGCAGGCACATCAGGACCAACAGCTCCCCGTCCGTCTGTCTCGGGGAGAAGGACTCATCCGCCAACGTGTCCCATAGGACCCTTGGAATGCGGTCCCAAAGACGTGTGTAAGGCGGGCGCATAAGAAACTTGGTAGATACCCTAGCCATGATGAAAAAGGGGGGGGGGGGGTTCGAGCCTCCTATCGAACAGCCGGGACCCAACCGCGGCACAATGCATGCATGCTCCAAACTCGCAGACTGCAGAGTGCAAATGGAGCAGGCAGGCCACACGCATCCCGACAGGTCCCCCCCAAAGTTGCGAGAATTCAGCGGGGGGAGAGCGACCCAGAATCAGTCCCCCAGAAACCCCCAAAAGCACAAGGGGGGGAAACCGACCCGGCGGGGGACTCCCCAAAACCCCAAGGGGACCTCAAGGAAACCAAGAGTCAGCCGCGGCCACCTTTTCCGAACCGGGCTGAGATGGCCCGTCCTTGGGGCAGCCAAAGCATGTGACCCAATGGTCGTGGAGATCAAGCTGCCGTGACGTGTCGAATAAGAGAGGAAAACAGTGGTGAAAAACGAACCCAACAAGGAAAACCCTATACCCCTCCCCCCGGAGACGGGGCCAAAGGCACCCAAGTCCCGGCGGGAAGAAAGCACATGATTCCCACATCCGACAGAGTTGTGAGACAAAACCTAGCGGCTCCCTCCCTTCAGGATCGCCTCCTTCGCCACCGAGTGGATTGCCGCCAGCCCCGACTTCTCCGGGTTGCTCAAGATGACCGACCACAGGGCAGTGGAGACATCCCCCAGGCCGTTCGAGGAGCTGAAGCGCATGCGGGGGGTGCCCGCGTCACCCAGGACCAGCCGCTCATCCCTGGGAGGCTCCGTTGGCTCCACCCTCTTGTAGAACTCCATCCAATCCCGGATCCACTGATTGTACAGCTGCTCCGGGGGCTCGTCCATCACCAGCTGCAAGCAAGTGGCCTTATCTTTGTGCCACCCCGTGATCTGGAGCAGTCTGGTCCCCCCGGCTCGCCTTCCAGAAACCCTTGCAAAATCTGCACATGTAGCCCTCCGTGGTCTTGAACTTCTCCTTGCTCACCACTTCCCAGGCACTGATGCTTGGCAGGACCAAGCCACACTCCACGGAGGCCCAAAACACATGCTTCGTCTCCTTGGGGAAGTGCTTGTTGATGTACTTCCGGCCCGCAACCG